CCTCCCTCCCTCATTTCTCCTTTTCATGCCTCCCTTCCTCCCCCGTGCCCTCATTCCTTCCTTCCTTCCTCCTCCTCCCTCCCTCCTTAAATTACTCCCAATAGCATTAGTCTAGAGATCACAATAAACAAATGGTTTAATGGAGTTACTCTTTACCTCTTTTTGAAATCATTGAATTAATAATTTATGGCTTGGTGACATTATTTTGGATGCAGCACCTGTATTTCCACTTCAAACAAACATGCAGATTAACCTGTCAGTAAAAAAAAAACAAAAAAAAAACTATTCCATCTTATTTAATCTGCAGCACAGTATCTCCAGTGCATCTACTGCTGATGTTGGATTAACCTGATTATCGGCCTCAAACCTGTATTATTCTTTCTCAGAAACCAAAAAGACTTATCACATCTAACAGGAACCACAAACCAAACAGTCCAGTTGTGACATTTATGCTTCAGAGGAAAAATGCCGAGCAGTAGGGAGGCTTTTTATCCGGATGAACTCTGCTGGAGTCCAGTGATGCAGCCACACTCTGATCTGCTGCTCCATTTAATCTAATGTCCGTTTTACCGTGTTTGTCAACCCATTTCAGTCGCTAATGCAGACAGGCACCTCTCCATGTTTAGAACCAGAACAAATCTCTGTCTGCTTACTGTAGAAATCTGCGCTAAGGTCTCAGATTGATGCTGGAAACAAACTTGCCCCTTTGCACCAGCAGGAATTGACTCTTGTTCATCATGACCTCATCAACTACAACGGTGTGCTTTATGCATTTATAGACAACACCTGTTAGCTTATTAGCTCACTTCCCTGGTATTAAACTACTATTAAAAAAAGAGCAGCTTGGACAACCTGCTAATGCAGAACGACAAGTCCATCCTAAACTTCTGCTTCACCGTGAGGATTATTGTAAAAAGCTGCAGTTAAACAGTGAAACAGCTCCCTAACAATGACCAGTCCCTTTAATATCTTTAAATAAGGCTTCAGGGCTCACTACAGTACAGACACTGCCTTGATTAAGGTGTTCAATTTCATTCGTATAAATGCAGACAGTGGAAGAACCACAGTGCTGGCATTATTGCACCTCAGTGGACTATTCAACACTGTCCATCACTCTATTTTATTAGAGCTCCTGGAGCTAGAGTGGCCTTTGACTGCTCTATCTTAACATTATTAGTTAGGTTTTCAGTCCAACTCTGCTTCAAACTTGTTATTAATCACTTCATTATGTAATTCCACTGGAATTTACTTTTCTTCTTACACTTCAACTGATCTTACTACTATGTAGATTAACTTGCTTTGCTTTACAGTAAACAAGGAAAGGTAGCCTTATATCTGAAAGACCTAAACTGTTCAGGATTAATCCCAGATTAATTTCACCCCATCGGATGAAACCAAAATGTAAATTCTCATATAGAACGGTTCTCCACAAACACACGTTTAAACTTGTGACCCAATCCAATCTGTATGATTGTTTTGCTTCATTTCCTATCATAATGGGACATACTGTGAATACAGTGTGTCCAAAAAACCTGTTGTTTCTTGCATTTTATAATTCTCAGCCCTCACTAAAAGTCACCAGATAAAACGCTGCAGACCACATTTCTGCACAGGAACATTTTTCCTATTTAAATGAGGTCCAATTTTGCAAATGTGCATATATTTTTGTGTATTTATGCAAATTAACGCTATAGAATAATGTATCAAAATTTTAGGAAGGAGGCTGTTTGCAACACTTAAACATTTTGACAGGTTGATCAAAAGAAATGAAGCATATTTGGAAGAACATCAAGTACGGAAGAGGATTAGGGCCACTGAAAAAAAAAAAAAGTTAACAGATTTTTATATTTTATTTCAGTTTAGTAAGTGAAAAAAGTGAGAATTCTGACTTTAATCTCAGAATTCTGACTTTTATCTCAGAATTTTGACAGCTAACAAACATGTTAGCATCAAGCCATAGCCATGTCTGTTTTAGAGACTAGCTCTCTTGTTTTAATGACCTTCTGCCCCTCTATTAATGAAGGGACCCCTCGGACACGTAAAAAGTTGCCTAATCATTTTCCACCAATGTGTCACTGGCCCTCTCAAACAACTCACATCTCTGTCAGGGAAGCTGAGTGCTTCCACATCTCTACCTTCATGGTGTCCATCTACATTAAAATCCACAATTCTGAGATTAAAGAAAGAATTCTTAGAAAAAAAGTCAAAATTCTGAGAAAATTCTGAAATTAAAGTCAGAATTCTGAAATTAAAGTCGGAATTCTGACATTAAAGTCGGAATTCTGAGATTAAAGTTGGAATTCTGAGATTAAAGTCGGAATTCTGAGATTAAAGTCGGAATTCTGAAATTAAAGTCGGAATTCTGAAATTAAAGTCGGAATTCTGAAATTAAAGTCGGAATTCTGAAATTAAAGTCGGAATTCTAAAATAAAAGTCAGAATTCTGAAATTAAAGTCGGAATTCTGA